GATGGCATCGAGCATCCATTCCGCCGGGTTTGCGTCGGGTGGACAGTCGGCTCCGTTGCGGCGGAAGTAATCCAACAAGACATGGGAGTCTTCTCCAATGTCTCCAAAGTATACGCACTCTCCTCCTTTCTGTAGCAGGAGAAGGCGATCAAAATTCTCAAATAGGGCAGAGTTCGGCTGGTGGATGGTACACAGAATTGCCTGTCCGGCAGCGGCCAGTTTTCGCAGGAACCGAATGATATTGAATGCCGATTGACTGTCCAGCCCGCTGGTGGGCTCATCGAGGAAAAGACTGTGCTTAGTTAGTAATTTGCCTGAGGCCAGAGTAATTGGGCTTTTGACTTCTCACAGTAGCTCTGGTTTGGCGGCAAGCTCCACACCAATGGTAACGCGTTTCCTTTCTTCGACTGAGAGGCCGGTCTCCGGGGTGCCAATAATCGCGTCGGCAAGATCCTCGAGCTCAAGAAGCTGGATGATGCCCTCGACATACTCGTACTTTTCGGATTGTGGTGTTTCGTACGGCTGGCGAAGGTCAGCCGAGAAGCGTAATGCCTCTCGTACGGTTTGCATGGGCTCATGGATATCCAGCTGCTCTGCGTAAGACACAGTACGCAAGAAACTTCCGGGAGGTGGTGCACCATCGACCAGAATATCGCCACCGATCACGCCAATGTTCTTCCTGGCGGCCAGAACATCCAACAAGGTCGTTTTGCCGGCGCCTGAAGCCCCCATAAGCGCCGTCAGCTTGCCCGGCTGCACGTACCCGTAGACTGATCGAAGAAGCCGGCGAGTGCCCGATGGCACAGGAACGTCATAACAGACGTCTTCCCAGGTGAAGACAGATTTGGAGGTGATCTCGAGATTCGTAGCTGATTGATCCTTAGATTCCCGATTGGCTCGCTTCTCCACCAGGGCTTCATTCAGGGCCCTGCGCTCCTCGTTCTCCTTTTGATAGAAGGTAATGGTCCTGCCTCCAGCCCCAAACTGCAGTGTTTCACCGAGGTACAGATTCAGGGTCAGGAAGCCAACGATGAGTGCAACCATAATACCAAAGTTTCGCCACAGATCCCCTGGGAAGTAGCTGAACGTCTTTGCGAGGTAGCTCGCACCTGAAACAATGACCGAGCCCGGCTCACCGCCTGCAAGTGTGCACACACGACTTGCCATGTTGTCGTAGCCTGGGCCACTGGGCACCAACGAGTCAGCAGTACATGTCATGGTAAGATGCTTGAACTCGTTGACCATCAGCGAGGCGAACCCCAGTCCGAACGGATTGATGTAGTACAGCCATCGCAGCCACACTTGCTCGCTAGGCCATTGTATGAGATAGCCGGACGTCAGAACAAACAGAGTGATCACCACAGAGGCAAACTTCATGGCATAGTCGAAGTCAGGACTCATGCAGCCAATGACGCGGAAGAAGCAGGTCATGCAGAGGTACCCAAGCACAATAATCAGGATGAACGTGAAGAAGGCGCCTGCATCGAGAACAAGGCCGCACATAAAGTACACAATAATGCTGAAGACGAGGATGCGTGCAATTGCAAAAGTTGTATCAACCAGAATTTGCGCAATCCACAGAGCACTTGGCCGATAGAAGGTAAATTGCCGGTGTTTATTGACGATAGAGCGACCCATCATCGTCGATACGAGTTCGGCAAAGGCCTGAAATCCGTTGAAGAGCAGACTGATGAAGAGAAGACCACCTCTGGTAAATGCTCCTGCACTAGTTTTGGGTAGTTGCAGCCAGACTGTACCTAGAATGATGGCGACACCGGTGGAGGTAATCCAAGAGACCGTCTGAGCGAACCTGTCTTGCCATTTGATCAGGAACTGACGTTGCATCAGCGCCCAGATCTGCATGTGGAAGGGTATCGAGTAGACCGAAGATTTGGGAGTAAATTTGCGCTTCGCCTCCTGATTAGCGATCTCGAAGTCGTCGTAGACATGCTTCTCTTGTTCGAGCTTCTTTCGGTAAGCATCCATTTCCTGGGTGAGTCGCTCACTGTACGAGGACTGATTGAATGCGTCCACGAGCGAGTCCGGCGTGGACGGAACGTTGTCTGCACTTCGGCCTTCGCTGTATTCCCGTTCAAACGGATCTGTGCAGCCAGTCAAATAGTCAGGAGTAGTCTGCCGAGGTCTCTCCTTGAAACCAAGACTCTCGAAATACGATCTTGCCTCAGAGGCGGGACCGAAGAATACTTGACGACCGCTGTCAATCACCAGGACCTTGTCGAATTGCTTGTAGATATTCTCAGAGGCTTGATAAAGAGACACGAAAGTGGTAGTCTTGTAGATGTTTGTTAGGATTCTCAGTGACTTGGCAAAGTCGAGAGCAGTCGAAGCATCCAACCCACGAGTGCTATTATCCCAAGCCAGGACAGTTGCTGATGTGACCATCATCTCTGCAATACTCACTCGACGTCTCTCCCCTCCTGAAACGCCCCTGATGAACTGGTTTCCAATCACGGTGTTGGCGGTATGTTCAATGTTGAACATCTTGAGCAACATATTAATGACTTTCTCTTTGAACTCGGCTTTGGAAACTCCCAGAGGTCTCTTTCCCGGAGTCTTCGTGTCTAGTGCAAATCCCAAGGTCTGTTTGACTGTGAGTGTCGGCTGATGAACGTCATCTTCCTGATTGTAGACAGCCTCTCCGCGAAACCTCTTTGCGAAAGTGTCTGCGTCGAAGATACCGTAGAGGACATCGCCGTCTATGCTAGTATATCCAAACCGCTGGTTTGTGATCGTTTTCAGGAATGTGGTGCAGCCTGATCCTGGACGCCCCAGAACAAGAACCATCTCTCCGGGTTGTAGCACTCCACGAAAATCCTTCAAGATTTCGAGCTCTTTTCCCTTCTTGCCATAACCGAGCATGTGCATAATCGTCTCCGGGACGTTGAAAAAGTCAATAATCGCATCTGGAAATGTTTTGATATACGTCTTGACTCCTCCCATTCCGCGAACGGTAAGGTTATCCCATATCACTCCTACGAGCTGTCAGTACGAGTGAAGACCTTCTAGAGCAACAAAAGCGCTCAAGAAATTACCTATGCGTTTGTTCTTGATTCCAGCTGCTGTTTCCGCGTCCCGGTTACCACGCAGAGCGGTTTCAAGATCCCACGGCTCGTCCGAGTCAGTTGGATTGTCGGCCCTTTCGACATCTTCCGTCTTCACTGTGGGCCTGGAAGCTCGTGAAATCTGCTTGGACAAACGATGAGCTTGATGTGAGATGGTAGAGAATTGCCTGTTCAGCTCTGAGAACTCCTCTTCGGCTTCCTTGACGTTGACGCCTGACCGATGGGAGGTCACCCCTTGTGGATTCGCGTCCCTGAGGCGCTCCCGGTGTTGTTCATAAGCACCGGCAGTAGACAGGGAGTCTACATCCGAGCCATTGCTGGTCTCGGAGACTGCTGGTTTCTCATCCATGGATGCAGTCGCAACCAAGGACGTGGAACAAGGGATCTTATCAGGAATTCTCTCCCGGCAAGATATGGAGAGGGTTGAGCAAAGAGGAAGAGAAAAGTAGAAGCGACGGGGATAACAGTGTGAGTGATAAAAAGCACAGTACTAAGGTAGACTAAAACACTCCGGACACATTATTGCTTCGTGAAAAGAGGCTAGAACAATTATATTTGCTAGTAATCGCTTGGCAGCTGCGGAGCGAAAGGCGAAGGAACAAATCCAAACCATCAGCCAAAAACATGTTAGGCCTCAGGAAAGAGATACATGATTCCCTCCGGAGGGTAATCCGGCTATGCCTCTCCACATGGACAGCCAAGAGCAGCCTAAACGGAGCAGGAGGGGGAATAGTGTCAAGCCATCCGCTGTAAGTGAACCACATTCAAGAGCCCGGAGGCCGCTCCATTGGAACGACGTGACTCGACATCCTGGTCATCAGGGCTAAACGAAGCGCCCGGTCGGGCAATCTGATCAAGAGAGCATTCTTGCGTCCTGAGGCATTAAAAGTCGGGGACTCGATCAGTTGGTGCTAACACTTTTTTTTTGCGATCAAGATGCCACTTCCCGGCGTCGGGGAGCCTAAAGCGGTAGGTAGTATCGTTGTGATTGAACTGATGATGTGCCAAGGAGTCGGCAACTCCCGCCATTCGTGTTGATTGATACTCGACGGATAGCAAATGCCCGAAGTTTAAACGAGATAATTTTAGTGGACGAACAAGAGGGCGGCAGGGTTTTCCAGCCAAAGAATCAAGCCAATTTAACTATGCAGAGAAGAGCGCAGTGGCTGATCTATCACATTCTTCATTTCACCGGTTTTGTGTCCGTTTTGCACCCATTGAGAATGCTCTGCCAAGATGTAGTTCGTAAGGCGTAGTCTACCGGCTCATTTCCATTTCGCTTAAAGGTTTGTGTTTCATATCGGACATCGGACATCGGACTAGTGAGCCCTGATCAGATGGACGGACGCCCATGTTCTATAGCCATCAACAATTACGGAGTACAGCATCTACAGCATCTCCTTGAGTAAAACAATGATAGAATCATTTATTTCCTTCCATCTATCTTTTCACAAATCACGAGGCTCAACATCGCGTTGATCAACTTTATGTCCATGAATTCCGAAGTGGGGGCCTTCTCCCCATCTCCATCCGTTAGGTTTCCGAATTTTGTTGCAGCGTCGCTGATTCCAGTAGATCGCAGCAAGACCTGTTGCTTTTGATCGAATTTTGATATTACAACAAATATCATTTTCTAAGCCAAGGATATCTAGTCGAATGCCATGGGTGCCTTTTGCCTCGAGGCTTGCCGCAACTCCTCTGGAATGTCTTGTTTACAATGCCACTCACACACTCACCACCTTGCCTAGAGGTAGCTTCATGATTCAGATACGAAAGGCGGATTTCTTCTACGGACTAAGATAGTCAATGCCAGTAGGGGACTTGTTCATACCGCTAATGATCCTAGGACCCCCATTTCACCATCGAAGTTCTTCTTGGACAGCAAAGTGCGACGAATATTGTTGTTGACGCAATAAGCTACCGGCTTAGCTGCCTGTGGACAAGGCTGATCGAGCCCTCAAGGACTGTAACATTCCCAGTCGCCTCAACCACAAAATCGAATGTGTACGGATTGTTATTGTGCAGCTTGTCCAATATGGCAGACGCAGCGGCCTGATCCCGCGGAAGGTCGATATGTTGGCCAGCAACATTGAGAGACACGGGCAATTTGACTACCTGTGCGGCGATAACAACAACATGATATGGCCGTTTTGACGACGTAGATGGGCTAGAACAACCCTTGTTGGGCCAGCACCAAACATCAGCACTCGCGATTCCATCTAAGGAGCAACCGTATTCACTCTGCGCGCCACGCAGGCTGCCAGAGAGACCGCCGAGGCGAATGACCGTCTTCGGCAGGTATGCTGCGTAGGCATCGAAACCGCCATCAATCATCCATCGCACCGAAAACAATGAAGTTCTTACAAAAGAGTTGGTGTCCGCGTCGGCAGTAGAAGCATTCTCAGCATAGTTCTGAGTTGTCTGCTGGGACACCATCGCCCACGGCGAAGCCCTGCACATCTGACCCAAATTCTGCTACGACGACGACTGGTTCGTGACCGAGGATGGCGGAAAACTACAGTCGTCAGCTCTGATTCCGTTCTGAAGATGTTCTTGCCTATCTGTGCATCGAACATGCCGTCGTAGTTATGCAAGTCGGTCCCGCAGACACCGCTGGCCGTGTTGACCTGACGCAAGGATCGTCAAAGTTTCGTTTGTCGTAGTTTTCTTTCTGGAGAGGTATTTATACCAGTACGTCGTCGTCTCATCTATGGATTATAAGTAAAAGGGGCGTCGAATACCCATTTGCCTGAATGCACGCCATCTGAGCTATTATGTTAGGCTCAATTTGGTTTGCCGTCTTTAAATAATCATCTAGACCTAGTCTGACCGTGGCCAATAGTGCTGTCTCGCAGATTTGCTCGGTGCTCTACTCTAGGTATAATCTGATCCATACTGGTAGAAACTTGGAAAGCAAGTAAGAGATATTCGCTTGCACTCATGGAGGTAACAGGAACCTTTGTGCAGAGCCTTACGAGAGGCGTAGACTCTCATTTGTGCCTGCAGGGAAAACTCACATAGAGTCTTCTCTCCTTTCATCCAGTAGTTACCCACTTCTCACATGCATATTTCCTTGATGCCCAAAAGACTCACAAATAACAATGTCAACCGCGGGTATCACGCCGTTCACTTGGCATGCTTAAGCTGCACTTAGCACACAGTGTATTATCTAGCTTTTATCTGGTCCCAGCCAATTGCGCTTCTCCCCCGAGGGCGCCGAGTCCTCAATGAGCTTGATTGTTAGACTTCCATTTGCACATGAAGCGCGCACTTAGTTCGTACTAGGCAGTTGCAGCATGAGGAAAAGTAGGGAGGCCAAGCACCTCGCCCTGAATTTCGATCACTGCCACTGCCACTGCCACTCCCAGGACCCAGCTCGTTTTAAGCCCCTGGCCCTCCCTTGACCCTGTGGCTGAAACTGTCTGGCTATTTGAAAAATGGCGTTTCATTTGAACCAAGTGAAAGGCGATCTGCTCAAGACTTCAAGTCATATCAGACTTTGAACGTCAAAATAGTGCGGGGAAATCTGCTGAACCGCGGTGATCAGGATAATCTGAACGTTCTCATTGACTGGAACTGATTATCACAAGGTACGGAGTACCCTAATCCGTTGGCCCTCATTTTGGGTGCTCGGAACGTGAATTTCTCCGTACTCCTTGCCTCCGACCATTTTTGGGGCTGTATCTGCCTCGAAAGGCACCGATTCAAGTTAACCACGGGACGTGAGCGTCAAGGTCCATTATTGCAGGTTGATGATGAACCAATGATGTACTACCAAGGTAACATAATCATAAGTATGTCGTCACCAGGCCAAGGTTGTGAGGACAGTGTTCTTGGCTACTGCTGAAAAAGCGCCATGCAGATCCGAAGATCTGTGACGTGGGGGGTTAGTCATGAACCAGAGGATTAGGGAGCGATTACCACATAAAACAGCACCAACAAGAACAAGTCGCAGAGGGCTTGCAACGTTAATGCAAAAAAGGAGGGGTTGAATCGGATTCTCCCCGCATTATTATCTGCAACAGTCAAGTCCAATTTACTCCGTACCCTGACGTGCATATCCAGGAAAGCAGAACGAGTCTGCCCTGTTATTACGCAGTAAATAGCTGGCAAACGCGCCATGGTCGTGCGATCAGATGATGATATTTACAGCTAGATACCAAGCGGACTGGCTAACAGGCGGTAGAGATGATTCCAAACAGCAAATAGCGACACCATCAAACCGTCAACAGAAATGAAGTGTTTCCCAATGATGATGGGTCTTTGATGGTAGATACTCTTCCATTGTCCGGGAAGCCGTGTGAGAATGACGTAGGGTCCATTTAGGTTCCATTCCCGAGCCACCGGCCCGTGGGAGTCCTTAAAAAATCCGGCCTTCCGAGCATCGTCGAAGAATTAGATCTGTAGTCATACGCTCTCTGAATACAACAATAGAATTCAAACCTCGTCGAGTTCATGGGTAACCTCACCTGAAGAGACGTGGTTGATCGGTCTCAATGCAGCGGGCTGAATGACTGAAACCCCCTTAGACAACGCATATCCATACAGCGCTCCTCTTTTTGGGAATTGAATATCCACCTTCGACCCACTACTGGCCACTCTGGGTTGGAATTTGTGGGTAGTAGTCATCCTTGGGTGGGACGCTGCCATTTTATAACGTCGACTGATCCTCGATCTGCTACAGTTGGAAACTCTTTATCTTCGTTTCCTTCTGCTACATGCTTTAAACCCTTCCACAGTCCACTTGCTTTGCAGAAAATCTTTCCAAACACCCCGTTGGCACGAAGTTTCAAAACTCTAGAAACATTTCAATCATGTCGCGCACTAGAGTCTTGCTGGTTGGAGCAGCCGGTGAGACTGGCGGCTCAATCGCAAATGGACTCCTTGAGAACCCAATCTTCGTGAGTCTCCCGCTTGCTGAATTATTCTCGGAAAAGGATAGCAACGTATTCTGACTGCAATATTGCTTACAGGAAGTCTATGCGCTTGTTCGTCCCCGATCGGTCCAAAAACCTGCCATTGTTTCCCTGCAAGATCGAGGTGTCCAAGTGCGCAGATGCGATCTGAGAGGCTCAGAGGAGTCACTCGCCGAAGCGCTTACAGATATCGATATTGTCATCAGCTGTGTCGGTCCCGCCGAACAACAAGACCAGATTCCTCTTGCAAAAGCTGCGAAGAAGGCTGGTGTCAAGCGATTTGTCCCGTGCGGTTTTATCACAGTGGCTCCGCCCGGCGGCATCATGTGGTTGAGAGATGAGGTAGGCTGAACCATCCGGACTGTCACTTTCTGTAAATTTTGAAGATGTATTGACGTGTGGTTCTACTCTCCAGAAAGAGACTGTTTACAATCACATCAAACAACTCTGGCTTCCATACACCATTGTCGATGTTGGTTGGTGGTACCAGCTTTCGTACCCTAGACTCGAGTCCGGACGAGTAGACTATGCCATGACCACGGCAAACAACGAGATCGTGGGAGACGGCAACACCCGCACTGCCTTGACGGACCTGAGAGATATCGGACGCTACATCGCCAGAATTATCGTGGATGATCGGACATTGAACCGGATGGTTTTCGCGTACAACACAGTCATGACCCAAAACCAGATTTACGATTTGCTCGAGGAGATCGGCGAGGAGAAGGTTCAAAGAAACTATGTAGGTGTCATTGGTCATCTTGCATGGGATTTCTGTCTAACAGGTTGTTTTCGACAGGTTTCGGAAGAGACCGTCTACACTCGAGTTCTTGCGGCCCGCCAGTCCAGCGAGACTTATCCCTTTGACCCAGTCAAATTCATTCCTCGATACCTTGCCGAATACCAATTGTCTTGGGGTATTCGCGGCGACAACAACCCGGAATACGCAAAGTATCTGGGCTACCTGGACGCGAAGGAGCTCTATCCCGATTTCAGACCAACCGACTTCCGAGCCTATCTTGAGACGGTCGTTAGAGGCACCGCGAAGGGTATCTACACAGACCGTACCATCTCGAGAGCTCAGCAACGGGAATTCCCGCGGACAGAGTCTAGTGACTCACTCTACACTCGGATCTTCCCCCGGGCTGAGTCGAGCGATTCGCTATACATGAGCAGATAAGCGGTCCTCTCCATGTTGAACAAGATCAGCAGCGACAGAAGGCGACGCTAGACGTGCCCTGTAAGCCGCGCCAAGTTTCATGTATTTACGATTTTGCGTCGTCCGGGGCAGACTGGCTTTGCTCTGGTCCTGAGACTCGCCTCATTGTTTCTCCTCTTATGTGATTCACCCCTCGGTTTTTAGACTGTGCTGGCGTTTGACTTGTATTGATGTCTTTATTATCCTTTTGTCTCTTTTCTATTCTAGACGCTGGCTATAGGGGAAAGTCGGGAAACAAATCATTGATACCACCACCTCTACTTCATTACCGGGTCCAACAAATCATAGAACTGGGTTTTTTTCTCAAGGTCAACCATCTTCAATCTTCCTGCAGACTCCTAGATTCTTTCGGTCTGATGTCCTTACCAAAGAAAAACCCCTCTGAAATTTTATTTTAATGCGATCCAGAATGCATTAACTATAGATCCCCAGCTCTATGCAACTGCAGTCTCAAGGCTGGCTTTTGAATTCATCCGCAAGGCATCAGCACTGGAAAATGCAGTGTCTATCGTCCCTTCCACTTTTATTTCAGCTCTGTTCGCCTTCGGCCCTTGAGAACTCGCTAACACTCTCGGTTTTCCCCAAATGGACTATCAGCATGTATCTCGCTATTCTCTACTTTTCATTAGGATCAGACGGAGGCCAAATGAAGGATGCCAGCCAGCCATGTCTCAGGATAATGCACAACACTCGATCCGCAACCGAATCCGAAGTCTCCATGAAGCAGCATCAAGTGAGTCTGGCTCCACAAGGATACGAGTCTTTGGAGTCTTGATACCACGCCAAACTACGATGATCGGTTTGTCTTTCTCAAGCAGTTCAGAAGGCTTCGAAGCCTTGGCTCACAGACCTCTAGCGATCGGCGGAGCTATCAACACCGGATTGATGATTGGAGCCGGAAACACGCTTTCAAAGTAAGGCACAGCCAACATAGATCGCCTATGAGCTGCATTAACACTGTCTAAGGGCCGGGTTTAGTATTCGTCTTAGGCAAGATGATATAGGGTCGCGATGCTGACCTGTCAAGCCTGCCGCGATTGTCATTTCTTACACGGCTGTTGGTATGGTTGTCTACTTGACCCTGTGTGCGCTAGGAGAGGTTGCAGCTTGGTTTCCTGAGCCATCGACGGCTGTGGATCATGTCGTGCGGTTCTGTGACCCTGCCGTTGGCTTTACATTGGGTTGGAGGCACGGCTTCCCCTCATGATCGGTCTATACTGAGCTGAGACGCTGATACAATCTTTCCAACAGCTACTGGCTTAAATACTTGGTTGTTACTCCCAACCAATTGACTGCGGCGG